AATCCTACAGCAGAGCTTGTGTCCTCAGTAAGATAAAAAAAATCAGAGCTCCTCAAGAATTCCTTCATTGTCTTCAGTCCTTAAGATTAAGTGACAAATTCTAAAGCTCTCACAACTACTTCCCAGAAAAAGTATCTAGCTCCTCATTCTAAGGTTGTAAAACACAACAAGGCAGTGACAAAGGTGACTTCTGCCAGACTTTTATCTCCTGCCATGGACAAATGGAATTCAAAGTTCATCCAGGAGTTTCTAACACAGACCTTTTAAACTTGTGGATTATTAACATTTTGGTTGTCTTTCTAATACAATTACATGGAGGGTAAATAACATTTTCTTCTCACAACTTTTAAAAAAAAAAAAGCTTCTGTAGTACACAGGTATTAAAACAACTGCCGATCTCCTGTCAAGTTACCTGTTCTTACCTTTTAGATTTATCTACCCTCTCTTAATTGAAGTCAGCTAATCTGAAAGAGATACGAAACACAGTTTAGATGCGATGTGATTTTGCCTAGAAAGAAGGAAGTTATTCAGAATCTCTTGGATCTTGTTCATCTCAAAGAAGCTCTGAAGATGTTTCCAAAACAAATGCATATCAGTGATTAAGTGCAGCTGCAGCTACTGAATTGCACAGAAAGATTAAAAGCATCCTCCTTTCTGTCTAGACACGTATTTAACAAACTTTATGTCTATATACAGGCTAGAGCTGAAAGGAACGTCTTATAAAGTGACACTAAGAGCTAAAACTTGGGAATGTCTACACATAGAACTTCTGCTTAAAGTAGGTGGAGGAATACCTAACCCTCTAATGATCTGATGGTTCATGCTTCAGAGGTGTATTTAAATAACTTACAGTTAGAAGAAATTCAGTAGTAAAGAACCTAGGAGGAGTTTCAGAATTCAATATGGCTATCACCTATCTAACCCATTTCTCTTGTAAGCACGGATTGGTTATTGAGGGTGGAGAAGGAGGGGAAGAAAGAGTGTAGCATTCTGCCTGCTCCCGAGCAAGGAGTCAAATGAATTGATCAATTTTCTATCTTTCCTTGAGCACCAGCTTAAGAAATTTTGCCTTGCTACAGAGCCTCAAAGATGTCCCCACAAAAGCAGGACTTTGTTAGCATCTTAAGCTGTTCCATTGCATTTTACCTCAGCTGAACAGTCTGAAGAACATCTGCACCACCATCTAAGAACCACCAGCCTAGTTCCTCCAGTTACACCTGCTGCCTGCAGCTCCACTGTTTAGGACCATTCATGGAAACACACCTATAGTCTTCTCATGTAGATAAATCTCCCCTGTAGAACGCAAAACTTTAAATACCTTTTATGTGTTACTGGAATGGTAGGCAGGGCTGGAGTGGGTGCATCATCTAAACCAAATCATAGGCTTTGAATATTCATAGCCACATTAAGTTACTTATATAGTAATCAAAATAAGTTCCATCTGGTTTTTGGTCATATTAACTACGCTGATGCCAAACTGCCAGAATGCATACCTTTGTCATAGAAGAAAAGAAAAAGGGAGGGGGGGAGGGTTTGCTCTTCCAGCCCTCTACACTTGCACAGGATCAAATACACATAGACTAATCTGCAGAGCTCTCCCCGACATTCTTAGAAATAGATTCCAGTTTCTTTATCACACTGACATTTAGAATTTTTTCCAACTATCCAAACAATCTCATCTGCTATAAATTGAACTAATTCTTCCTCATCAGCCAAAAAGAACAATCCCTTTGATAATCTTTTATATACTGTAGGCGACTCATACTTCCTCTCTTCCGCTGTGTTTCCTAAATTAAGTAACACCTGTCATGCATTGCACTTTCTAACCACCTTCTCCTCTTGCCATTCTCCTACACACCTCTACATCTTTAAGTTTTGTGTCCAAAACTGGACACTGTATACAGCAGAGATATCACAGGGCTCTGAGCAACCTGATCTAGTTGAAGATGTCCCTGCTCATTGCAGGAGGGTTGGACTAGATGACCTTTAAAGGTCCCTTCCAACCCAAACCATTCTATGATTCTATGATCAGCTGCAATGAATAAAGAACAGCAGTTAACTCTCAAACCACCTTTTCAGTTGAACTTCTAATCAACTTTTTGTTCAAATTCAACTTTTCTGTAATTAACTACCAAATGAGATTTAATTGTAAAGTTGTTGCATGCTTCCTTCTCCCACAGTCAGTAACTCCTCACTTTATGTTTATTTGATATGCTTGTTTTTTTCTTAAGCAGCTCTTCTATTTTCATTGACAGTCAAACACACACAAATAGAAAGACGTGATCAAACTCCTGATTTATTTATTACTCATGTTGAGAGAACTGAAAGCAGATCAAGTTTACAGAGTCCAAACTGCTCCAGCTGGGAAACTGGGGAAAAAAAGACTACCCTGACAATTAGGCACACGATATAAATCAGACACTAATCAAAAAACCCTGCAATACTGTCTTTATAGAGTTTCATTTCAATGTAAAGACACACTTTCAACCCTCCAGAAAAAGCCTTCTGCAATAACAAAAGAGAAGTTGTCTGTGATGGAGCTAGGAGTGGCAAACAACAAGGGAGATGCCAACGTAGCTTAGAAAACTGTATGAAGTAGCTAAGTCTCACAAGAAATGGACACCATTCAAAATGCATTTTATATGATGTATCAAACCATCCTAATCTAAAACCACTTAAACTTTTTTTAATACTATCCTTTTGGTGTATTACACTGTATTTCTACCTCTGCTATTAACCCATCATCTGCTAGTAATGTGAACTCTGTGAACTGTTAAAAGTATACACTGATTATCTGTTTATATGCTAATGAACCTAAATCTCTTGCACTGTCTTTGTTAAAACTATTTTATTGGTGTCATACATTACAAAGGCACTGCAAACCTTTAGAGTGACGGAGCCATTCACAGAGGAAGCACCAGAATTTTTAATGTAAATCTGATCTTGGTATCTGATAATAGATTAGAAAGAAAATAGGCAGTTCGTCTACAGTCAGAGAGAATGAGCACCAAAGAAGTCCTAAACCGTAAATATTAAACTGGTAAGAGAATGAACCAAATGTTATTTTGCTATTTCATTTATCATTATAGGTGAAAATCTTAGCCAAGTACTCTGAAGATTTTAATTAAACTTTATTCTTCTTTCAATAAAGGTTAAACCATCTCTTTGACTGGCACTCTCATGCTTCGGCCCCATGCTGTCCTTTGCATTTCTCTTTGCATAATAAAGAATTCAGTTGCCATGGGACCTTAGAGTCACCTGCAAAAGGCTGGGCTGAACAACATAGCCTTGGATCATTTCTTCATTTTGGAGATTCACTCACACTATTACACATTTTACAAGAACTCTTAACAGGCACTCAGTTGTAAAACTGCAAGAATATAAATTTGGAAAGACAAAACAAAGTCTATACATTCCTATCATTAGGCAGGAAGAAGCAGACTTTTCTTGCACTATAATCTGTCATACAATAGAAGTGTCATGAACAGTCCTTGAGACCTAACAGATGCTTTGAGACTTTATTCAATCTTTCAAAGTGATAAAAATGGCTACATTGCAGTCACTTACGCTTCTTATGCTATAAGCAACAGAAATCCATTCATTTATTTTGCAGATTACAATAATTTATTACAATCTTCTTCACATAAGTTATGGTCAGGGAAGAAAGCTAGAAGATTTCATCACTTTTGGTAAACAGCAAGGAAAATGATCATTCTACAACAAAGGCAATTTATCCTTTCTGAAAGTAAGCTCCAGAGGTGCAAAACCAAAACTATGTGTAGCACATAAGCATACCTGCAGCTCAAAACCCACATACAATTCTCAAAAAAACCCCCAAGAAAACCACCAAACACCCCAAAACACTCAAAAGGCAAATTTTGGTTGAAAATTAAGACCTTCGAAATAGCCTTGACTTCAACACTTAGACAGTAATTATTAAAAATTCACCTATTGCATTCATTCTGTGACTCTCAAGCAACAATTATACTTGTCCCCTGTACCTCTATAATTTCAGAAGTATTAATTATCAAATATTACATACATTATGTCAAAATTTCCCAAGAATGCATGCATATGTCATTTACCTGTAGCAACATGACAAAATAAATTCTGCATCTACTTCATTACTAAGACTGCCCTGTAACTGAAATAAGATATCAAATATACCTTACTTTCCACTACTTCCCAACTAATACTGAAAAACGTGCTCTGCCAGTGTAAAGGCTCATCATGTTAGGACCCACTGTGGAATGTACTATCATTCGTGTTAAAAAGATGTGAATTTTTCCCCTCTTTCCCTTCCCTCATAACAAATGGTACACTTGTGCACACTAGCAAGAAAATTTTCAGCTAGTACTAAAGTTAACTGAAGAGAAGGAAAAAAACCCAAACCCAAAACAAACCACAAAAAGGTTTGATATAATTTCAAGTCTGGCTCGGAGCTCATGAGATTGAATTTTATTTTAGAGGAAAATACAACACCGAGATGAAGACCATTAGTCCTGCCATGAGGTAAAAATTAGATCATCTGCCCATATGCTTGAATTAAAACAGGTAGTAGAGGAAGAAATAAATACCAGCTGTATGAAATCAGGTACAAAGAAAAAAGATACTACATGTTAAGATAACTGACGATAACATAATTATCCACTAATCTCCTAATTTATATGCAGCTCCTCCTTAAACAAAGAGGGGCGACATTGTGCATACAACTCCTCCATAGAAATACCAGCATGCACAATCTGTTACCTCTGATGACTGCTCTTGTACCCTTTACTGTATGCGCTCACTGGATGTTACTTCATGAACAGAAGTAGGTAAAAAACAATGCGGTTTTAATAGTATTTGTCTGTATTAAAGACTAACAACTTAGCAAGCATATTACCACTAAAGCACTAAGTGTACTTCATTATACTACTACTTTATATAATTACAAAACTACTCACAAGGATATAATGAAGAAGCTTTTCTTTGCTTAGCAATAAGAGCCAGATACTCACAAAGAAGGGTCTTGGACCAGATCTTTAAGGTTTATCCCACTACGATCCTCGGCAAGGTTCCTGAAGCAACTGTCACTCACTAAAAAAAATAGAAATAAAATTAAAACAAAACAAAACAAAACCAGGAAAACAAAAGAGGTGGAAATTTAAGAACAGAACGCAGTTCTTTTGATTAACTAGAAACGCGTTTTGTTGGGTGTAATTTGAACATTTATATATAAAGTCTGATTTTCAGTGAGGTTTCACCTAATTTAAAGATAAGTCAACCCAACGGAAAGTGATAAACACTGTATCACAGACTACGCAGAAACAATCGGTTTCAGCTGGTGTCCTTACTACTTCTCCACCTGTGGCTACAGGAAGTCTCAAACACAAACACTGGATGCGCAAGTATACACAGATATCCATACATTTAACAGCAGAGTCTTTAATCACGCACCGGTCAGTATTCTTTACCTAATCAGAAACAGTGAGAGTTGCTATGTATTTAAGTTCACAGTTGGTCATGGGTTAGCAAAGTTGTTTAATATGAGCAATAGCCAAAAGAATTAAGAGCAAAAATTTATTCAAACAGCTTATAATTAACTTATAAAGTGCATGTAAAGCAGCTAGTTACTGTAATAATTGAAATTATAGCACAGTAAATTTCACAGAAGTTTAAAAGAGTACTAGTGTGCTTTCTTTTTCTTCACAACGTTTAAAAAAACAAAACCAAAAACAAACCAAAAACAAAACGTGATTTAAACCTGAAACTCCAAATCCGTTCTCTTGGCTAATTCTCTCAGCACATGTACCCCATTCCCACAGGTGGGCTCATTTCTCTTAAACAATGTCACAGTCAGTTTGAGAGGTGGGGAAAAAAGTAGTGGCACAAATGCTTTTAAAAAATCAGCATCAGTTCAAAGGAATTACAGTTATTTCTGACTACAGCAAACTTTCTGAAGGACACAGAGGTTGTCACACAGCAAAATCAGTGTAAGGACCAATTTGCCAGAAAGAGCAAGGTAATTTGCCAGATAGAAGGGAGCTTATGAAGAAATGCATTCCTGCTCATCTTCTGCAACAGAACACAGCCTCGCATTTGGTGAAAGGGGATGTGTTTAAAATCATGTGCAAAAACAAGTGTTCCTATTTCTTTCTCTCTAAATGCAAGATACTCTTTTAAATTTACATCTGTAAGTATTCATGTGCATCACCAGCATCGAAAAAATGCAAAGCATTCCCAAAATATGTTATTTTCACAGATTACAATACATACTGTGACAGACCTACCTAACACACTACAAAACTGCAAAACGTTTCTACTAGTACCCCTTGTTGCCAATGCATCTCACGAGCATGAAACCTGTTAATCTGCTGGGAAAGACAAGTATGGAAGAAGTGGTCCCAGAAGAAGGGGCTGGGGTAGCTGATAGAACAGGTACTGGCCCCGGCTATCACACAAAGCCCGACAGCTAACAGTATGTGACAATAACAGCAGTATTTGTCAAATGTAGATAACATTAAGAAGTTTACCCACTTTGCACCTCAACACTGTAATTACCAGTTGATATCCTAAGCTTCTCTTATCTACCATCTCTGAAAACACTACCTAACAGTTGCTCGTCACACGCTATCCCTGAAAGCCAGGTGGTATATCACAAGGAGCCTCTTGTCTTTGAGGTAATTATCATGGATCTTCAGTTTAAACAGCAGCTACTTGTGCTAACAAAGTCCAGAACTCCTGGCTTGCTTGTTCCTCCAGAGACAATTTCATCAACGTCTCAATACTAAACTGAAATTTAACTGTACTGAGTTCACAAGAGCTACCTACCTTGCCAGGGGAAATGCACCTTGAACACCCTGGGACTTCAGAAATCTTTCACTTCCATGCACATCTATTGCACTGAACCCAAGGCCCTTGAATTTACAAAGTCTCTAACTCCTGAGCTAAAGGAGCAATTCCAAGATCAGTAGACTTGCAAACAACCTACACTCTAGATTTTAAAAAAATCCCAGCTATTTGCCTCTTGTCAAGTTTGCCAACAAAACAGTAAACAGAACATTTTACCTACTGTCTTGTCATAAATCCTACACTAGTGATGTATTGACTTATTTCCTATGCCAACACTATACATCATGAATAAAAATGGTCAATAATGTTTCTTCACTACTGACAAATCAAACATTTCTTAAGTATTAAATATTTAATCTAATTATGCTGTATTTTTTCTACTGTCTTCTCCAATGTCCTCATCGAAAGTAATTGCAATTATAATTGAAGAAACTATTGCGACTGTTCTAAAATTTTTTAAAAGGGAAAATTAAAAATAACAACATAAAATTATTTTAGCAGTATAACTGGCCATTATTTGTCTGTATAACTCATGAAGTTTATTAAACAAAATGTGTTTGAAATAAATGTTTAAAATGAAAGCCCAGATTTGCCAGCGACTGTCTTTGTCTTACTTGTCTCAACATAACTCTAATATCATAATACCTTTTTTATGAATGAAGTCGAAAACTGCAAACCTTCCCTCTAGTTAGCAGAGCTGGGCAATACAAGCTTTTGCTAAAAAGACTAACTCAACATCAGTCAAGTATCTACAAACTTTGAAAAAGCTATCAACCTCATCTCCCCCCGCCCCCCCTTTTTTTTTTTTTGGTTATAGGAGAGTCAGAACATTGGGAAGCTGCAAAATTTGGAAGCAAGCCTCTTCTTAGGTTACTGTTCTAGCCCAAATCAGAAAACATAGATGCCTCAGATAAATGTGAAAAATTTCACACACAGTTTTAACACCCAAGAATTCCAACAGTAGTTAATATTCACCAAAATAAAATTTCTGAAAACTAACATTTGACCATAATTGCCAATTAAATTACTAGCATTGATAGCAACAGGAGAGCTTCCAGTGAGAGGAAATAATTCAGTGGAATGGGCTGGAATAAGACCTCTTACAGGAAGACTTCGGCATACTTTACTGACCTGCATACAAGCATAGCCATGCTCCCTCACACCCTTGCAAACTCTAGTCCAGGAAAGAAAACAAACGTTCGGCAGTAAACACGGGGTGGAAGCAATCAAGCAAAGTAGGTACTACATTTCTCACGGCTTAGAAAACCATAAATCAACACTGCATGTATTTTAAAAAAAATGGTATACTCTGATTGAAATGCAAGCTATTTATTTTAAACAGGACATAGGGTGAAACTATGTTTGATGGTATGGCAGAAAGATCAGGATGATCAATGGTGCTTTACCGTTTGAGGGAAGAAAAGGCAGAAGAAAACTGCATCACAGCCACAAATTGTACTATATTCACAAAGGCCATGCCTAACTTCCTGTCTTTAAAGCACAATCAAGGGAGACTTTTGCCTAGGACATCTGTATGAACACACTCCCCACGTAGGATTTTATTGTCTTGTTTCAAATTTTTTTTTTTTAAATGACCCAAAAGTTTATAAAAGCTAGTATTTTAAGCAGTGTTGAGTGCATGGTTTATGGAGAGATACAGAATTGTTAGCTGCTCCCCTCTACATGTACACCAAGTGGCTGAGCCTCTGATCTGTATTACACCCCCCACATATACATCCTTATAGACAAGGAGAATCACAACAAAAAAATCTTCCTAAAACGCATTTGCTCCATGGAGTATTGTACACACAATAACAGTCTATAAGGTACTAGAAATGTTTTTTAAGAAGTAAAATATTGGCACAAATATCACAGGCATAGACTGAACCCACTCCTACTGTTACACGTATCAACAGTGAAGAGGTTTTAGCAATAGCTCCAATTCTCCCAACATCGTCCTACTTTCAGCTCCTAGTTTCTATTACTGATGTTCTTTTTCTGACCCCTGTCTAGTCTTATGCCTAGGAAGTAACAGAGATGGGAGGCCAATAAGGGAATATAGTTCTCACCTGTCAATTACACAGCATACAAAAATTCCATATGAAAGGGTTAAAATCAGCATTCACACTGTAATGTGCAAACATCCAGTTTACAACAGTTGCGAAGCCTTCCCACTTGGCATTTGTGAACTTCTAAATCTGTCCACATGATTTTTTTTCTTTGCTTTCTTTAACAGTTTTAAATGAGACCATACTGAAGTAAAATGGATTATTAGCCTGTTGATTTCCAAAAATGAGAAGCAGAAGAGAAGTTCTTCAACTCTGAAGGTAAACTAGTATTTTCTTCAAGTGGAGGCAGGATATACTCTGTTGTGAACTTCATCCTTTTGTTTTTTTTTTAATGTCCTACGACTTGAAAACAATATAGCCCTTTAAAACTGTCACTTAATCTCTTATCCCACACAGTGTATTCCCAGCAAACAAAAGCCCTCTTTAGATCAAAGCACTTCCAATTCTACAGCTGTTAATGGTCATTTTCATATCATATGCTTTAGAAAAAAATGCAATCATTACCCTCAAAAAATGAAGGGCTATCTATAGTTTGGCAAAGAAAATGAGTAATAATGTTTACCTCCCCAATATCAAAATATGCAATTCCAGAAAACTGTAAACTACTATCACCTGCCAGATTTCCCTCTTGGTTCTCAGAGTTCAGAACTGATTTTAGACTAGTTGTCGTTACCTGTTGATAAAAACCATCCTGGTAACAAAAATGCTACGCTCAGAAAGACAGTCATTGATAACTGTGATGCACTATTACTTCAAAAATACATGGACTACTACAACATTGAACAGTATGCACTGAACTATAAGATATCAATTTCTTACATTTTTGCCTTTTAGTCTTAACATCTCCTAAGTTCAGTTCTTTTTCTCAAGACTTCTTCATCTGTCTGTAGTATTTTTGGCACACTTTCCAGAGCAGATCTCTCTCCCTTACCCCTCTTTTTATAGGATCATTTATATGTCTAGGTTTTTATACCAGATTCATTCAGCAGCTGATAAATACAAAAAAATATTTAATACACTTGGGATGTTCTGGAAAGAACTCATCTGGCATAGCATTGTATTCTAGTCTGGTTTTGCTTGCAGTAAAGCATTATGCAGAAGTCTCATTTCAGATTCAGGTGGTTCTGTTCCACGCAGTGCATGCCAACGTGGCAGGATTCGAGTATTTTGTTTTTA